ATTTCGGTGATAATGAACTTCTTTTGGAAAGAAATAAATCTTATTTAGACATAAATGATTTTTATCCACATGAAAACTCCCCAATACCCATGGTTGCCGCGGTAATTATTTGATTGTTGATTTGGTGATTTTGTTATTTATTATTTTTTTTTATTGTCATTTATTTCATTGTGTAGTTATTTATTTATTTCATTATTTATTTATAGGCTGTTAGTACAAAAGATGATCCATCCCTACAATCGATAACGTTTCGTTTTTGGGTACTTAGTACGGTAATTAATTAATCAATTAATAATCAATTGATTGATTTTCTTTGGTTGGAAATTTCAACTAATCAATAATAATGATGATAATAGTTTTTCACAGTGCTCGGTGCAGCAATATCCCAGTTCTACTACTTTCGTTCAAATGGTGGTGGATACTCTGTATTCTTTGTATTGTTAGTATCTCATGTTCTTGGTAAATGGATGTCTAATGTTTTGCCAACAAAACAAATTCAAATTTATAATTGGAAATTTTCATTAAATCCTGGTATGTTATGATAATAATTATTATTTTTTTTATCAAAATGAATATTATATTTATATATTTGAAATTATAGGTCCATTCAATATAAAAGAGCATGTTTGCATAGCAGTAGCTGCTGCCGCAGGTGGTGGCACGGCATATGCAACAGTTAGTTTCATTTTAATTAATCGTTTAGTTAAGATTAAGTTTGAATTCACCATCAATAATAATAAAGAAAATATATTTTTCACAATTTATTAGGATATTATTGCTATACGGCAATTATTTTATGGGGACAGTGCTAATTTTTTACTTGGAATTTTATTATTATTGAGTACTCAGATGATTGGATATGGATTAGCAGGATTTTTGAGAAAATGTAGGTAGATTGATTGACAGAAATGAAAATAAAAATATGCATTTTACTATATTCTTTAACAATTTTTTTCTCTACCTTTATAGATCTTGTTCGTCCAGCTAATATGTTGGTATGTCTTTTGTTTTGAGATCTACAAGATAGTAATGTAGCAATATACCAATTTAACAATAGTACTGATTGCTACTACAGATTAATTAATATTATCATCATTACACAATTAATGAACCATAATTAATCAATCAATCACATACTTTATATATAGTGGCCTTCAAATTTAGTATTCGCCAGTCTATTCACAACATTACACGGAAACGTTAATGACACAAGAGATAAATTAAAGTTTTTTTATATAGCCTTCATCCTAGTATTCTTTTGGCAATTTTTTCCACAATACATATTCACATGGCTTACCTGTATATCCTTGTTGGCTTGTCTAATCTGTCATTTTTATGCTAAAGCTTAAAAGCAAAACTAGCAAAACGATATGTCACATCTTCAGGAATCGTTCTGGCACAAAGAGTATCAAACCGGCGCAACAATGCAACATTGGAAAATCGCGTTCAAATGTTGGAAACAATGTTGCAGGATTACTATCTTGACAATTATCAATTCGAGGCAAGTTTTTTAATGATGGTATAGTCAATCTGGTAGCCATTATGAAAAAATCTAACTTTTCCTTTAAACAGCACTTGAGAAGAATGGATCTGAAATATGATAAACTCCAATGTGAATATGATGAAATGATTAATAGTCGACATCAGGGAACTGAGGAAGAAAGAATCTTCCTTGGCTAAAGAAAATAATGATTTTTGGATTCATAGTTAAAGGGTTGCTATAGTTTATCACACTTGGAATATAACTTGACATATGGTTGCCAAACTTATAGCCTTCCCTCTTGTAATTTATTATATAGTAAATCATATTTTCTGCGATCTGATTCGCTCTGTATATTATTTCATCCATGCTCAAATTTATGTTAAAGGTGACATTTTATTGTTAGTATGATGTAAAACACAATATCAAATTAAGGACATGTTCTCTTGTCTAACTAATCCGTCAATGAAAGGGAATCCTCAATACCATGTACCGTCTTTTCTCTTATAATTAAAATTTATGAGATTGAATTTTTTGATCACAATTCCATTACTAACAATGATAACTTTTCATCGATGATCAGTAGTCTTTTTATAACAAAAAGTTTGAATACACAGAAGAGACTGGAGATCTGTTAGAAATATGATTGATCATTATTATTTGTTG